AAGTGCTGTGGTTCCGTTGTTCCATCACCCCAGTTTCATACTGGACCCCTTACAGCACCGGTGTTAACGCTATAAAATGAACGCTCTCTGTTGTGGTATCACCCATGGAGGGATTTCTTTATTTGAATGGGTTCATTTTTCAGAGGGATACACAGTGAGGTGATTTTAGCTACCAGTAGCAGGAGAACGGAGCTGCGCCAAGAAACTAACAGAAGCTAACAAACACTAAATAGAAGATACAGTTGCAGCCATCGATACAGTTGCAGCCAAAATGGATGTCTTTATAATGTTCAGCAGCTTTGTTTACATGTAGTAAATAAGTTTTATTGAAATCCAATGAAAAATAAAAATTTGGGGAGTGGTCAAAAAATACTCAATTTTGTCTATTTTCGAAAAAAAATTTCCGTCAGTCAAATTAGCTTTGGAAGCATTTTTGCAGCCAAATATTTATTTGCCAGCCCCAGACCCCTACAAAAAATTGGGCTTGTTAAAACCACATAGCAGGCTGGGAAAATAGCTTTTGGAGCTTGGTTTCAACATACATGTTTAAATATGAAATTTGTTTAATTTTTCAAAATGAGACTTTTTTAAGAACCTTCATTTTAAAAGTAAGCTATTTGTAGTGTGCATTGTCTTGTTTTGCAATATGATTTACATATATTTAAAGAATATCATTACAAATAAGTGCCAAATTGATTAAATTTTTAAATAATTAGCTTTCAAAAACCCCATCTTTTTCTACTCAAAGGTGGATTTGTAGGAATTTACACCTACCCCTCAAGATCTCAAAAACAGACATAATAGGCTGAAATGTTTTCTGCTGTTTTCTGGTAATACACTTAATAGAAAAATGCATTTAGAGTACTAAAAATCTAAAGAAAAAAAATTGGCTGCCGGTACCTACTTGTAGCCATTATTTTGTGCCCATTGTTGGATACCAAACGGCACGATTGAACCCAATCAAACCCGTTATACGTAGGATTTCTGTCGGCTATGTGGTCTCAGGTTTTGAAAATGGGCCGACAATAAGCCGATAGTTCTAAAATCGTGTAGTGTGAGCTGGGCATTACGATGAAGAAATCAGGAAGGGAGGGTCAGTGGAGAGCACCGGAGTTGAGCCATTTTTTTCATCCAATGTCGTTAATAGAAAGAGGAAAAAGGCAGGAAGAGACGGTAAGCCGATAAATTAAAATGAGGTCGGTAACTTTCATTTATCGTACATTTATTTGATTTATTGTTTATCGCGACAGGCCTACACAGAACAAAGGAATGAAACAAATAAGGGCAATATTGTTTCTTATATTAAGTGAGCCACAGAGCCACTTGCAGGTCTGGAGCTGCAGGTTCACATCCTTGATGTAGCAGAGCAACGTTGTGATCCTCTTTAGCTGAAGCTAAAATGCTACATCTTCATTTTTAATTCATTGTTAAAGGTAAAAAATAAATAAAATTGGTATAAAGCTGATCAACTTTAAAATGTGAGGTCACAAGTGAGATTAAAAACAAAATGTATTGTCTTAACGTAGGTTGAGTTCTTCACTGTATGAATACGTTGTAAATAAAAAATTGTATGAATCTGTACTTCTGGATTAAAATATTTTGAACATTTTTGCCACAGCTCCAAATTAGTGTGGAGGACACTTTACCTGCTTTTCAGTTCAACTCTTCAAGATAATTTTAGATGAATCGCATGATGCCTACAGACCAGAATCTCCATGGAAAACTAGGCTGATCCATGAGATAGTCATCAATTAAGTTATGTTACTGATGGTGTTTTTCTTCCCACAGACCTCCAACAGCCAAGTGTCTCAAATAAGGAGAAAGCTTCTGTCATCCAACAAGTCTGGAGCCTGGCAAGTAGGTCCAGTCAGGACCAGAAAAAACATCAGTGGACTGAAGAGGAACAGATGGAACCAGAACCTAAATGGATTAAAAAAGAAGAGGAGGAACCAGAACCTACACTGTTTAAACATGAGGAAATAGAATATCCACTA